TATTTTTTCTAACTTTACCACTGCATTAAATTAATTTTTTTTTAATAAAAGCCAATTTGGGACCAAAAATGTACTACTCTATTTTTTTTGCCGTTTTCTATGAGGAACATGTCATGTGCGACATTATGATTTCTGGAAAAATGTATCGAATTACCTGATTTGCTGGATTAATTAATATAATTGGGTCCTGAATTAATTACGTGCATGTGTTGCCAAATTCCTATTTTTAACACCTAATTATTAATACATGCCAATTATCTTCAAAACATTTGATTCATTATCTTATCATATACTGTGATTTTTTTTTTCACCTTCTGTAAATACTAAAAGCCATCTAGCGGGTTAATCATTAAAAACACCTAATTCTCACGTACTCATACATTTTCACCGTATATAAAACTCTCAAACTGAAATGTCATACTATAAGAAGCAACATAATTAAGCAATTAATCCATGTTATAAGTATACAATATTATTATATAAAAAAAAAATTTGACCGGTCGATCTATTGCTAAAAAGACCTTACTCTTACATACTCATACATTTTCAACAGATATACATATATATATATATATAAAACTCTCAAACTGAAAAGTCACAATGTAAGAAGCAACATAAACAACGTATGCTAGCTAGTAACTAATAGTATTAGTATGCAGCTTAAAAAAAGAAATGGCAGGTCGCCCCGTCTAACATTTAGACCAATCGATACAAAAACTTGTGCACAAAAACATTTAGGAGAATGTAGCTTTCGGAAGTTGAGGAGTAATTAATCAATTTCTCTTAGGTAATTACGTGCATGATGATCCATCATCACTTGCCTATCCATACCTCTATATATACCGATGTCTAACAATAGATGTATTCACTCTCTCACATATATCCTCAACAAACAATATAAAGTAACTAGCTACTAATCAAAAGCCATGGCGCACGTTTCAATTAACAATTTCTTTAGTTTGGCTATGACGATTTGCCTAGCAATGTCGATAGCCATGGCTCCACCTCGTGCACAGGGAGCCATCACGTGCGATTTTGTACTGAGAAGCTTGTCACCGTGCCTCGGGTATCTCAGACGGGGTGGGTCCGTGCCGCCAGCCTGTTGTGCTGGCGGCAGGTCCCTATTCAATGCTGTTGCCACCACCCCTGACCTGCAAGCGGGTTGTAGGTGCGTCAAGATCCTCGTCCCTAATGTCGGGGCTAACCCAGTCTACGTTAATAGCCTCCCGGGAATATGTGGGATCAAAATTCCGTACAAGTACTCCCCATCTCTCGATTGTTCCAAGTAAGATTAGGCGTGACAGTCTGTCATTTATGTGAAATTAATTACGACTCTATATAAAGTACTCCCGATTTCTCAATTGTTCCTTGTAAATTAAGCGTGACAATATGTCATTCAGGTGAAGTTAATTTTGAGAGTATATATATGTGTAATTAATTAATTACTTGTTTGATTGATTGATTAATTTGGCCTTGTGTTTGCAGGGTAGTTCGTTGAAATCAATTGTGGAGAGTGAATTTGAAGGGTGGAATATTGTGGATCATAATTAATAAGAGTGAATAAGGCGTGATGTGCTAGAGACATGGTGTCTTTAAGTAGTTGTCATGAATATGTTACATTTTATTTTATTTTTTTTTTTCGTTTATGCGTGTTGTTGGCTAGTCTCTCTGTTTGGCACATTTACTATGTGTGCAAGCCATTCATATCACGGTTGAAAATAAGCATTTCATGATTTAATAAATTATATATAACTATGGCCATTAAACAAAACGAACGGTTCGACTTAGGAAAGTTCGAGCTTGGTTTACTCTTTTATTAAAAATGAGTTGAGTTGGAATAGTTAAGCAGACTCGTTAATTAAACGAGCCAAGCCGAGCTTATTCACGAATATATATCTTTTTTTTTTTTTACTTTATCTTTTTGTTAGTTTCAATTTAATAGACGAGTCGAACTTGTTTGTAATGAACAATATTATTATGTTTGCGAATAACTCTTTTTAGTATTTTAGTTTTATTTTAACGAGCTTGCTTATACCAGACCAACTAGAATAGAATAACATGCTATATATGAGATCTGTAGAGACGCACAGATAGACGAGAATACAAAGACCATCTTAATTCTTCCCAACAATTAATGTAATTAATTATAAATGTTGTTTTGCTTGTGGATAGGATAGCAACCATGAATCATTTGTTAATGGAAAATTATTAAGGTAATTTTCAGTGGGATTTGTAAGATATATACTATATATTTGAGCTATAGTATTCAATTCAAAGCCCACTACTAAGACATGATGAGTGCGATCTTTGAAATTTTTATACAAAAGGGCACTCTATAAAACACTTTGAGACAGTCATTTGCATTTGCTTGTAATTTCGAGAATTTTTACCGTATTATGCGCACGATTTACCTTTGACTGAAACACAATTAATCACAAAGGTAAAAAAGGGTCCGTTTTTATATAAATAAATAAAATTCAACTTAGGCAATCCAATAAGCATAACAGTCCTATATATGGATTAAATTAATATAAGAGACTTTATTAGAGCATATTTTGTAGTTGTGTTATTTATTGAACTAGCGATTTCAATCCTACAAGGATTATGTTGTTTGGATATAGTTACTAAATATTAATAATTGATACATGAATGAAAGTACTAAATACCAAAAGTTGTCACAAACTAGGAAAACTTAGGAAAAAAGATAATCCATGCATCTATTTAATTACTTGCGAGTGCGCAAAATGTAGTACTTATTGAATTGTATTGTAAAAGAACAAAACAATTGAGTTTGTTGATTTGGTTGTAAAAATTTAATGGAGATATATATTGATGTCCCAAGCTAATGAATGGATTGGCTTTGACCACGCGAGATTAGATGAAAATTATTATAATCATTTTCATGATAATAATACATTTATATCCATCCATCTCTCTGCAAAATGAAAAGATATGTATATATAATAATAATAAAAATAAGAAATATAGCAGCATGCCCATATTTCATACTTTGACTAGATTGTACAGGCTTTTCCTTTTTTGAATTATAATAAAAAAAAAAAAAAAAACTGGAATATTACACAGGAAACTAGTGGACCGTATTACCCTTGTGCACAACTCATAGTTGTTCATTTGTCAGTATCGCAAATGCCAATATACTCCTTTCAAATATACATTCATTGCATAAAGGGTAAATAATTTTTTTCAACTTGTACTATACGTGCTTTTAGGATTTTCAACCTAAATTATTTTTTGTTGTAAAGTGCAACCTAAACTACATATATACAATTATTTGCACGCTCGAATACTTTTTGACCATCCGATCGTGTGCAAAAAAGGACACTTGTATGGTTAAGATGTGGTCGAGCATGCAAATAGTGATTGTATATGTAGTTCAGGTTGCATTTTACAACAAAAAATACTTTAGGTTGAATATCCCAAAAATACGTATAGTACATGTTGGACAAAATTGTTTACCCTTGCATAAATAACATATATATATATATGAACCTACACTTTCCCCTTTTTAAGTATATTTTAATATAATATAAAAAAATTATAAAAATTAACAATTCTACTTTTAGTATAGCATTTTATTTAGGGTTAATTGCTAAATAAATCTGAACCTTTTTGCGTTTGACAATTTTATCCCAATCTTTGAGTAAATGTAATATAATCTCGAATTCAACTTACTTATTGCAAATCTGGGTGCAGAGTGATTGATTTTAGAGATTTGTGGATCGATTTTGTGTCCAAGTCTTTCATTGACACGGGTTTTTATGCCATCCACGTAGCAAGTTGTCAATTTCCACGTATTTAAGGTATATCCATACACAAAGCCGAAAATTCCACGTCAATGTAAGCTACCGGTGATGAGTATCCTCCTAGATCTGGAGTAAACCGGTAAATATAAGCTCCGATCTATTCGAATCGCCTTCAAATCGACTAGTTTTTTGAAGGTCCAATCAGTTTTAGGTTCGAATTGCAATAAGTAAATTGAGGTCGAGATTATATTGCAATTACTCCAAGATTGGGATAAAAATTGCCAAACGCAAAAAGGTCAAAGTTTATTTAGCAATTAACCCATTTATTTAACGTTTATCATTTTCACATATAAACATAGATTTCGAAATTAGAGTCACATTTAATTTTTCTAATAATTGGGACAAAATAAGTTGTATATATGTAAGATTAGAGAATCTGGACAAGAGAGTGCAGTCCCATGTAAATTAAGCTCACCATAAGAGAGTGAGCCTAGGTGCACCATAGTGAGGTTCCATCTCAAAACCAATTGGTGATAGTAAAAGTAGTCTACTTGACTTATATACTATACTCATTTTCCCTATAGAATCAATGTGAGACAATTCCAAAGTGATACTGCCTTGTGACTGGGAAGCAAATGGAATAACGATGATAAACACTTTCATATTAAAAACAAATAAATTTAAAATTGCGAATGAATGAAAAATAAATATTTATAATTATTAATATTCATGGTTCTACATATATGAATGAAATGAATGAATGGTTAGCATTTGGTTGGAAATATATAAAAAGTCTTTGGTTATTTTATTTTTTCATTTTGTTATTGAGATTTATAAAACGAAATTGAGACGAAATATATATTATTCTCACGCTTTTTATTCAAAAAAAAATAAATAAATATTGATTATCCTGACAAAAAAAAAAGAACTAATATCCAATTGCACGATTAATGCTCCAGTCAAAGTTTGAATGTGAAGGTTTATAGCTATCATTTTCTCAGATTTAGCATAATTTTCTGGTCAACAAACCAACAAAATCATCATTCTTATTGACCAAATTAAGGTCATTAGCGTAAATTCTCTTGTACTAGTATTCATTATTGTCCTTAAAACAGAGGCCAAAAGCGTCATTTCCCCAGTCAGATAATGATTTTCTTTCCTTAAATGAGAATTAGAGATGAGTTTTGGTTTGACCACTGTTCTCCTTCCCGCATATACAATTATACATACACAAATTATATGCATATATCGATCTCCTTCTCTCTCTCTCTCTCTCTTCATCTCACACACACACAAAACACACGGTACCTTTGTCTCTCCTCCAAAAAATATCATCCCTGCATTCTTTTGTCTCTAGGGTTTTTGCGTTTTCCTAATTGGGTCATAGATTTTGCAAATTTGTCATATTGTGGCCTGAAATCAATAAATTTGGGTCCAAAACCCCTACGACGGACGGTGAGCTGGATTTCGATCCCTTGGAGGTATGTTTTCCTAATTCTTCCCCTTTTTTTTTCTCTGCGTTTATTCCTGGGAAATGTGATTTGTTTATTGAATATGTTAGGGTAGTTGGATTCCTTTTGTCAAATCAAATCAACCGCATTATCATTTATTGTTGTTGTTGTTGTTTTGCTGCAAATACGCGATCTGGGCTTTATAACTTAATCAAGGGACTTATATGGCAATGAAGTTTGCTCTGCTTTGCCTCTATATGCTTGGGTTCTAGACGACCTTGTTATTGTTGTTGTAGTTTGGTTCATTGGTGGATGCAATGTGAATGCATTTGAAACTATTGTCATTGGTGATTTATGAAAGAATTTCCAAAAGTTTTAGTCTGTGTTAGTTGTTGAATTCCTTGATGAGGAGAACCAGATTTGAGATATCAGGAATATGATTGTTGTGTAGTCGGCATGCCTTATGCTTGAAGCATTGTTTCACTCTCGACGAGTTGATCCAATGTGTTGGTTGGTAATCTTGGGAATAAATCAAATATCATCTAAGCCCAACCTCTTTTAATTTTAAGGAATGTAGACTTTTGTTACCGTATTGCGTATTTTCTGAATTAAATTATTTCCTTTTACTGTATGTAAATGATTTTCTTTCTCTGCAAAAGTTGAATCCATGTTCCTAACACCATATATATCTGTGCATGAATTCTTTTCATGGAAAGAGATAAGTGCACTTTCATTTATCTGTTTTGGAGCATCAGAACTAGATTGCTTGATTTTTTCCTGGCCATTTTACTGATGACAAGCACAACTATTAAAAATACTGAAATGGGAAACATGACCATTGTTTGTACAAAGTTTCAAAAATCAGATGTTTTTACGGCGACTTCATCTCAACCAGATTTCTTGACAGAGCTGGAAACTAGTTTTCTATTTGCCTTCTGCTTGCAGAATGTTTTGGACATGATCTTAATATCTTACAGTTACTAATTCCATGGATTAATTCAAGATCTTGGGAATAAATCGTGATACTTACATAACTCAATCTATTTTTAATATTAAGGAAACTGACACACATTAGAATTGTTTTGCTCATAGTCTAGACGCTGGAATTTATTATTTCCTAGTACTGTGTATTTTTTTCCTTCTTCTGAGTCAAACATCTGTAAAGTTTGTGCTGTTCAGACTTCAGAGTTCTTATCAAGTAAGAAAAACTAGTCCTCTCGTGTTTCTCATTATTTTTTCCTTTTGCTTTCAGGAGGAACCCATCCCTAGCTAACATTGCAAAGTTTTGACTTGCAACATGGGATGCTTCACAGTGTTGAAGAGTAAGAAGAAGAAATCTGATCGTAACTGTTACATTAGACATGTGAACCCACTGGAGCATTCACCATCAGTTTTGCCTGAACCCCCAAACCGTACACGTTCTCTGCAATCTGCACCCCCGAGCTTCAATACCAGAATCAAACCTATACAATCAAATGGCGGTGGGGTGAGCAGTAGCAGAATACGAGCATTATCGGCCCCATCAAGTCTAGATGCTGCCGAACAAGACGAACTTTCATCTGCCGAATTAGAGGATAATGAAGAACCGAGAAGTCGGATTGTGTCCATAAAAGAATATAATAATTCACCGACTCCTCAGCCTCTTCCCCTCCCCTCACCCTCACCCCGTGGTTCTAATGCTCTTAAGGCCATGGCAAGCTTTAAAATGATGAATGGAGGTGATCCTATTAATATCTCCGGGCCCCTTCCCCTGCCACCTGCTTCACATATGGCTCTCATGGCTAAAGGGACACTTCCCAATTTTTCCTATGAAGAACTTGCATCTGCATGTCGTAATTTTTCTCCTGAGAGATGTGTGTCTGAAGGTTTATCTTCTGTCATATACCGAGCTTCTTTTGTGGAGGATGCATCTGGATCGAAGAAGCTTGAAGCCACGGTGACTCGTCTTCACCCTTGCAACCAGGTAGTGTTAGGGTTTCTAGTGTCCAGATATTTGATTGATTTTTGCTTTTTCCTTTTTTTTCTTTTTATTTTGTTCTAGAATGTTGTGTGTCATAGCATCAGTGCATATATTATTGTCTTGGGGAAAACATAATACAATTAAAAGGTATACCCAGATGATTAATGTCATCTTAATGATCCTGTCGTAGATTTAGCTGGGTTGGAGCTTCTAAATTTAAGTGAAGCCATTTCTTGACATCCCTCGCATTTTTTAAATTTATTGTGCCTTTTACAGGGTTTCAAGGAATTTGTGAATGATGTAAATACGCTAGCATCTTTGCAACACCCCAACCTCTGTAAATTAATTGGATATCATGTGCGTGAAGGCTCAGACCTCAGGATGTTGGTTTATGAGAGGCTATTTCATGGGAGTCTGGATCGGCTTTTATATGGACGATCAGATGGGCCACCGCTCGACTGGAATAGCAGAATGAAAGTTGCGCTGTGTGCTGCACAAGGTCTTACCTTTCTGCATGAGGAGGGACCTTTTCAGGTAATTAAAATCATATGTCGGACCGATATATGATCCTCCTATTATCAATTGGACATGGGTTTAGGTTTCTTTTGTACTTTGTGGAGTAAAAAATTGTGATTGTACTGCTATACAGGCAATGTTCCATGATTTCTCGACTGCAAATATACAGATTGACAAGGATTTTAGCGCAAAGCTTTCTGGGTATGGCTGCATCAACCATATTCCTGAAGCGGATGTCTCCAGCAGCTCAGTCGTAAGTTCTTATATCTAACTTTTAGTTATTTTCGATAAATAAGTTCTTACTTAAAAAAATTACACAATATCCAGGCCGTGGCAAATCTTTCGGTGGAGACTCTGGAAAGGGGCTTATTAACACCAAAGAGCAACGTGTGGAGTTTTGGGATAATGCTTCTCGAATTGCTCACAGGTAGGAAAAACCTCGATAGCCGTCACTCGAAGGAAGAGAGGAATCTAGTCAAGTGGAGTCGGCCTTTCCTGGCAGACGATTGCAGGCTGACCCTCATCATGGACCCTCAGCTGAAGGGCCGTTTTCCAGCCAGAGCTGCCCGGACTGTAGCCGATATGGCCCAACGGTGTCTCCAGGTGGACCCCTCCGAAAGGCCCACGATGAGGTTCATCGTTGAGCAACTTAAGACCATACAGGACATGAAGTGCACGTCCCGTTTTCCTCTACAGGAGCCAGGGGCAATTAGTGGAAAACAGATGTTTAAATCACCTAGTTTTAATGGAATTGTGGCAAAGGCCACAAAATCCAATCTTTCTCCTTCTCTTCCGGCAAATAGGCCTAAGTTTATTACACCTCTATACGGGCTGCCGTTGGTTCTGCCGCCGCCCAGGATGAGTTCATCTACGTTTTTGCTGGAGGAAAGTGATATGCAGGAAAAACGTAGATCATCGTCCTCCAATGTACGTAGGTCTAACGTTTTAGATTTTGATAGTTAGTAGACTAGATTGCGGTTTTAAGCTTTTTTTTTCCCCCTTCTTTCTTAACTTGATGAAATGAGGTTCTCACATAGAAGATAGAGATGATTTTCACCCAACTGGGTATGTTTTATTGTATATAGAGTCCTCGTTTTTTTTTTTTTTTTTTTTT